TGTTCACCGTCATCGTTCCCAGTTCCCGCAAGCGACGATCGATGGCTGCAAATGTTTTCCGACAGGGGTGTCGCCGATTAGGAAATCTCTCACGGTAGATCCTTTCAGCAAGTCTTGTATTGCAGCGAGCCTCACCGAATACAAGATGCATGTCTGTCATCTCCGCAAATGTAAACATGTCGATTTAATTTCCGAAACAAAACGCTGAACTGAGATCAGTGTGGACTAGGCGTTCGCTGCTTTGCGTCGCAGAGATGCCAGTTTCGAGACGCTGCCACACGAACACAAGGAAAGAGCCTCGTACGTGTGCGCAGGCGCCGCTGAGCGCGGAGCGCCATCTCTGCTTTGCAGTCGTGCATCGTTGACAGGCGTCGTCGGAGACTACATGTTTATTAATAAAGTTGAATATTTTCACCTACCCTACAACCCCTCAACGGTTGGCACCGGAGTTCCCGAACACCCTGTATATATATTATTATATAAGGGATATGTTGATTATATTCTTGATTTCTTTTTGATTATTGATGCTATTGTATAATTTGCTCCAAATACTTATAACGTGAAAGAACGTTGAGTAATGTATAATCAATGCAAGGATGTTCAGTATATCATCCAGTATATAAATTAGAGTTCAAATATATCAATATCAATTTTTTTATAATATATATATATATATATTAGAATGTAGAAAAATGATAAAAAAATATATTTCGGCGATTTAAAAATTTTTTAATATATTGAAAATATTTTTACTACATACACTATATATAAGTGTAAAATAATTCAGAAAATAAATTTAATAAAAATCTACATACCAGCTGTGTGCATGTGTGCAATTGATTTATTACTTGAAATTTATTTACGGAATTATTTTGCATTTATATATTTATAGTATGTGTAGTTGTAAAATGATTAAAATATTTTCAATATCAAATTTTTAAGTTTATCGCCTATATAAAAAATATATTTTTATGATTTTCTATATTCCAATATATTTAAAAAAATTGATATTGATATATTTGAACTCAAGTTTTTTACGTGATTAAATATTCTTGCATTGAGCCATCATACGTTACTCGTAAGTTCTTTCACGTCATAAGTACTTATGTAGCAGAGAGAAAGAAATGAGAGTTATACAATGTAACATCAATAATCTTATATATTATAATCTATATATTATATATATATAATATTTCATTTATTTATAAAATACATTTTATAAATAAGTAAAATATTATACAGACAATGTACAAGATGTTCAGTTTGTGCCATAACAAGCTTCAATCAATAATTATTACTCCAATGAGTATAATTCACAATAATTTTTATATAAATAATAAGTATTTGAATATATAAAAATATTTTTAAAAATTTTTTAAAAATTAATTGAAAAAGAATATTTAAAATATTTTTTATATTTAAAATATTATTTCCTCAATTAATCTTAAAAAAAATATTTTTAAATATTTAAAAATATTTAAAAATACTATATATTATATAAAAATAATTGTTGATTATTATATTGGATTAATTGAATGAAGCTAGAGCTTTTAATATGGCAGTAGCGTTTTTTTTTGTTTTTTTGTTTAAGTGGGGGAACCTTCAAAAGGCATTCCGGTTTTCCGGAGTAGTGTGAGATTCTTACTCACTGAAACCCCCACTATACATACGTTACCTGCTACAATATAATGGCGTTGATTCAAAGATATCCACGCCTCTTCATTGAAAGTGATCCGCCCTTCAGACATCTCTAATCTATCTGCAACAAACAACTCTATGCTGCATAAAGATAATTAAATAAAAAATTATTTATTATAAAATCTGAAGAAAAACAATGTAAATTATATAATATTAAAATATTAATTACTTAAAATAACATCATAATTTTTGCGCTTATCGGAAACACAACAATAAAAGCGCTACAACATATTGTTACATATTCTTATCCCGAAAAATGTTATATATAAATATTTAATACAAAATATTTTTAAAAAATGTAATATAAATATAAAAATATAAAATAAATAACAAGAAATGTTAATAAAAGTCTGATATATGCAATTTTTTCAATGCAATAAAACAATTTATGAATTATATGTTTGATTGTATTTTATTTTTGAGATCTTTTTATTTTAAAGTTTTTTTTATGTAGTAGGATTACTCATCTTATGTGTTGGGATAAAGATATATAATAATATGTATACAATGTACAGTAAACAATAGCAAGCAATGTACATATAAACATACATTTAAATATCTTTTCTATAATTTGAAGTTAATAAAAACTTAAATTTATGTAATTGCTATTGTTTCTATACATATTTAATAAACAACACGAATTAATATAATTCGAGTGGATTGCAATTTAAACTAAGTTAAATGATTGCGTCGCAAAGTGACCTCAACCATATTATGGGAAGTATACTTGTACTATAAAATATTTTTACTTTATATGCAACTTTGTTTATTATGTGTTTCTATACTTGTATCTTGTAATTTATCTATCTATTACTAAATATTTTTGAAAATAGTACATTGCAAAACAAAAACCTATCTGATATATTAACACTTTGCGACGCAATCACCTCAGTTCAAATTGCGATCTAATAATTTGCAATGCATTATTTTCAAAACAAAAGTATAACATAAAATAATTGTCACAATAAATTTAATATTACATATATATATAAAATATAGAATGGGCCCCTCCAACGCCCATTCTCGTGAGAACGCAACCAATATTTTTTATCGTCTCTCCGTTTTTATGTTATACTATATGTTCTATACAATGACGATTGCAGATAACTTCTACCATCTTATTTTATGATTGCTTATTTTTGTATAATGGCAGTAATAAAAGCTTACAAAGATAATGAAAAATATTAATTCGGGAAGGCAATAATTTGTTACTTTCTAGTATTTTAATTAAATGGAGTGTCATGCATTTAACGTTATTGGAATATTTTCATTACAAGGATTTCCTTTCAAGGCTACAGTTGTAGCGAAAGCCGCAGCATAAATTCCACAAGAGGTGCAATCCGGTTTATGTGCACTTCTTCGAAAATTATATCATATTTGTTGATCTTAGGATAACGAAGGCGAATATATTCTTTTTCTTTAGCAGCCAATGTTTCGTACGTAGTACCAGATAAGCTGTCGTACACGTGAAGTTTGGTGCCATCAAAATAAATACATCGCCAATGATCTGTGCAATTTCCGCCAATAATTTGTAAGCTTTTATTACTACGACTAGCTTCAATTATATGCGGGTATTCTATATATAACACACTTTGTGTTTCAAAGCAAGAAGTTTCTCTTATTACGCGTAAAAATAGATCTAACGATCATCATTTAATTTACTCTTTATGGGCAATACATTTTTCTTCACTAATAAGAGCGAAGATATTATATTATCTAACATTTTTCTTTGCTTTTTTATATCATCCTCAGTTAGATCTCTTTTTTCGTTTGAGTAATCAGTTATAATGCAATCGTCATCTTGCTCCATTTCTGGAATAGCAACAAGTGGTAGTAGTAGTGTTTCAATAACACTGTCCACTTTTATGTCATTTTTTTAGCTACTTGTGCTTTGATGACATACTGCGGTTCTCGAATAGGCATATTTCTTGCCGCTCTACTATCTATTATTTCAGGAACCAAGCAATCTTCGTAGAATCGTGTAGCGTGATAACATTTTTGTTTCCAAAATCTGTTATCACGCTCGACAATCGTGTACTTCAATCCAAGGGGGTCCACACCCTTACGAAAAAGAACTACTGCCGATTACACATAAATATTACTAATAATTACATGGGAATATCGCTGGATATCACAGGAAATATTATTGGGTATTACAAAAATATTACTGGATATTACAAGAAATATTACAGGATATCACAGAAAATATTATTGACAATTACATAGAATGTCAATAATTATTTCGTACCACTGCCGAAATATATTACTGCCAAAATATATTATTGCCAAAATATTACTGCCTAAATAAAAGAGGCTTTTGGAATAATTTCAGTAGAGTTACTGATAAGACAATATTTTAATAAATGATTTCCAGTTAATTTTAAAAGATAATTAATAGACACAACGACCAAAATATATTATTACTTTTTTTCATCATTGAAATAATAGTAAATATATATATTGGTGATGTGTCCAATAACTTTCGTTTTAAAATTAACTGAAAATTATATTACTAAAATATTGTTGCTTTATCAGTAACTACTGAAATTATCCAAAAAACTTCTCCTATAAAATCTTATATGTTACTTCAATATACATTAAACACGTATATAATAAAATAATAGCTATTTATTGCATACAATTTTATATATATAATATATATATACAAAATATATATTAGGTATATTTTTTATTTATTAAACTCAGAAATTTTTGCAAACTTAATATACTCAGAAATATTGCATACTTATACTCAGAAAACTTGAAAAAAAACGAAAAGTATTCTTTGCATTATTGCATTTGCTACGAACAAAAAAACTTAATTAAAATATTTTAAAAATTAAAAAAAAACTTAAAAAAGTCACATGTTTTGCACTTTGCATTTGCTGCAAACGAATTTTTAAAGAAAGTTAACAATATTTTTTTGCGTTATTACATTTGCTGCGAACAGCAGCTCGAAATAATTTTTCATTGTCCCGAGTCTTTCCTCCAAACCGTTCGTATATGTACGCTGTAAAAAAATTAGATTTGATGTAGATATCTTGAAAACACCGATTACAATATTTAATAATTCTCATTTATTTTATGTTATTATTTATTTTACCTGCAACATCTGCTACATGTGTAGGATCAAGCTGTTGTGTCGATGCTTTGGGCAGTTTTTTCCTTTATTCGCATTAGCCTGCTTCCCTGTTAAGCTGCTTTCTCGCAGTTCCTCGCGATCGAACACTAATCCAAGTAATTCGCTTGCCATCATTGATAGGCCGTCTTTGTCATTCATTTTTTCCAATTGTTGATTGCTTAAAACCGATCTCCAAAATATTTTCCATTTTCCTGTAAATTAAACAGAGAATTCTTTTAAAAATATATTACCATAGAGTACCATAAAATTACAAATTATTGTCTAATTTATTGAGTAAAATATTATGAATATATTGTTAACCTTTAATTTGTTCTCATTACTACTGATCGTCATCAGTTGTCGTTTCTCGTCACGTTTTGTTTCAACGGTTTTAAGTACACGATTTTTCTGAAAAATGTAATTTATAAGTTATTCTGAATTGTAACTGAGTCATTTTTCATGATAGTTTATTATTAAATATTAAATTAGTGTGTATAAGTATAAAAGTGTATATTTTGCTTTATAACTATAATCAACTTTGAATTCTTTTGTATTGGCCTTTTTAAAAACAAGATAAATTTAATATTACATTATAATATTAAATAAAACTATCATAAATATTTATAAATAAATAAATATATATATGTATTGTGAATGAAATTTTACCATTTCATTGTCATCCTGTGGAACAATCGTTTTATTTTTATAAGGTACTCTAAAAACTGCGTGCGTAATCATCGTTCAATGAGTCTTCATTTATTGGCGGATCAAATGAATCTATGAAGCCGTCAAAGACAATTTTTTGGGCATTATCTTCGGCTCTCTCTTATGTAAATTGTCTACATTCTGTAAAAGAAAAAATGTTTTACAAAATATCTATTTCTATTTTCTTTTGTTTAGTGAGCTGAAAATGCAGGTGTATATTCAACTTATTTTAAACTTTTTTTAAAAACTTATTTACCTGTTTTTGTTTCCCGTTCATTAACTTTTAAAAGTCTTAAAATTGTCGTCGTCATGTCTTTTATGTCTTTTAAATCTAAAAACAAAAAATATATACATATTGATATATAATTTTTAATAAAAATCTTATATTATTTTTACATTTGTGAAAAAAAATAAATCTAAACCTTTTGCGCTAGCTATTTTTATTTCTTTATTTTCTTCTTTTAATTTTAAATTTTCGGCTTCCAACGCTCTATTTTTCTTTCTCAAAGATACCGTTTCTTCTGTAAATTTTATTTTATTGTTATGTGATGTTGATAGAGTTCTCATTGATATTGCACAATCATCATCTGATGACGAAGTCGAATCCGAATCTGCACGAGTCACCTATAGATATGTTGGAATTATTACAGTAAAAACATCTTTTATTTTCAGTAATAAAAGTAATGCACTTTTTCAATAAATAAATAAATAAATAAATAAATAAATAAATAAAATATATATATATATATATATATATAGATTCTTACACTTTGTGCCTCTGATTGTGATTGATCCTTTTTTTAAATTTTTTCCAGTATATTTCCGCCACTTTTTTTGCAGCACTGGTTCGACGTTTATTTGTATCCTAGCAAACAAAAATACAAGACATATTAGTGACATTATTTTTAAAAATGTATATATTTACTGAATTATCTATTATATAACAATTAGTATAAAGTGTTTATGTGTTAAGAACAAGTTCGTAAAATTTGTTCTCAAACACATAAAAACAGATTTTTATACTAATTGTTATATATATATTATATATTATATATATATATACATAATAGATAAAAGTAATGAAAAGAATTGAAAGTATAATATGTAAAAAATCAAGCTATAATTAAGACATAAAAGTAAGACATTAATTAAATCAATTCTTAACATGATCAAAAAACATCAGAAATTAAAGAATTCACATCGCATATATCTTAAGTCTACAGTATTTTATAAATACTATTTTATTAATGTCTTACTTGTATGTGTTAATTGCAGCTTGAAAATTTTTTCATTTACAGCGCATGCATGTTAAGTCTACAGTATTTACATAATACTGTAGACTTTAAGATGTATGCGCTGTAAATTTTCTAATTTTTGATGTCTTTGTTCACGTTAAGAATTGACTTTATTAAGTTTACTTATATGTGTTAATTGCAGCTTGAAAATTTTTTCATTTACAGGCATGCATGTTAAGTCTACAGTATTTACATAATACTGTAGACTTTAAGATGTTTGCGCTGTAAATTTTCTAATTTTTGATGTCTTTTGTTTAAGAATTGACTTTATTAATGTCTTACTTTTTTCTTTTACGGCTTGAAATTTTTAATTTTTTTCATACCTTAATTCTTCTTTTATCATCCTCTTCACTACTACTGCTGCCTTTCTTCTTAGCAGCATACTTCTTCCTATCTTCCTTCATTGGATTTGGCTCATCATATTTAAGATAATTTTTAAGCTGCGTGTTCATGCTTGTCCAATCTGTGATATATAAATGTAGATATTTATAATTTTACAAATTTACAAGTATCCTAATTAAATAATATTTGTCACTGCCATATATGCAGTAAAGTAAATATAATAAAATTTTTATTTAAAAACTATACTCATATTAATAACCTCCAAATCCTAAAATGGACACGATGTGCGGAGTCCACTTGCAATTAAGAAATTTTTTCTTCATTTTTGCATTCAGTGGACCAACGATGCAATTCGCCGGCCAACGAATAACTACATGTTCACCGCTTTTTATAAGTGCATTTACACGTTCTTCTTCTTTCACTGTTGTTAGCCATGCGAAATATCCAACGGCTATATTTCCGTTCTCGTTAGGAAACTCTACGAGAATACACTTTTCATCGTTCAACTCCTCTGTGTCATTCACCTCCATTATCCGATAAATACTATAATTATCTATACTTTCCAAATTCCTCCGAATTCCTTGTTAGCACGATCGTATCGCGAGTATGATTCTTTCTGGTTTATCGCGTTATCCTTATGCGCGTACGCATGCGTTCCACAACGCATGCTCAACGCGCAACAGTTTGCATATCACCTCGTTATCACGTGGCTCTATGTTTTTGTATACATTACATCGATGGTTTTGAAACGAAGTATTGAGAATAATGAAACGAGGCCCTTATAAAGAACATTTGAAAAGGACTGGCGACCTTCCTCTATCGACAGACTATTCTCGAAAGAAAAGACGAGTTGGTGTTGGTGAATGTAGTACGGGCAAGAGAACGACATACAATGAAGAGGTTATGTCCCCTGATGCACGTGTAAGTACATAATAAATAATTATAAATTTGCATTTTCTAAAATATAATTGTAATATTTGATTTACTTACATGAATTTTGAAGTTATAATTTTATTGACATATGTTTTTCTTTATATGTTAAGTATTTGCAATTTGTATATATATGTATTTTGACACATGAATATTATGTGTAGAATGGACTACCGTTTGATGATCTGCATGAAAATGAAGATTATGTAAATCAACAGGAACTACTAGACCATTTATGTATTGCAAATCTTGATAATATTGATGATAGTAATTCATCGGTTCAAGAAATTGATGACAGTGACCAGCAAAGTGATACAAGCATAAGCGATGATAATAATGATTATGACAATATTGAAGAGCACAAATCATCAAGTGTTAGCGATTTCAATGAAGGCTCCGAGAATTTCGAATCAGATCAGGATGAAGAAAATTTTGAAGATGAAAATATTAATGTTGAAAAGCGTTGTCCCAATCATGACGTACAGGTAAACAAATAAATTAAAGTTATTATTACGCATACAATATTTTTAATAATATTTAAAAAATATTACAGTGCCGACAAGTTTTATATGAGGGCTGCGATTTAACAAAAGAAGAAAGTGTACTTCTAATAATGAGTGTAGCCTTACGTCATCATTTCACTGATGCAGCATTACAATCTTTCATCCAAACCATTGATTGTCATCTTCCTCGCACATGTCACGGTTCGAAATATCTATTTTGTAAATCTGTACCAAAGCAGACTTATCATGTATATTACTTTGTCCACAATGTATACTTATTTTACATGTTGACAATGACTGCATTACTGTAAAATGCGATAATTGTTCTGAGCAGTATAACCCATCACAGCTCAAAAAGATGGAAAATTTTATATATATACCGCTGAAAGAGCAACTAATCGAGTTAGTTAATTCTAAGGTTTTTATGCAATTTCGACAGGAAAACGAAAAGGAAAGTGACGTTATCAATGGTAAAGTGTACCGTAAACTGAAAAGAAAAAATATTATAGGGGAAAATGACATTACTATTCAATGGAATACAGATGGCGTACAACTTTTTAATTCTTCCCTATCTTCTTTATGGCCAATTTTGGTAACAATTAATGAATTGCCTTATCGTATTCGAAAACAACAAATATTGCTAACTGGTTTATGGTTCCAATCAAGTAAACCTCCAATGAATGTTTTTCTCCAACCTTTTCTTGAAGAACTGATAGATTTACATTTTAATGGCTTTGAAAGCACGACATTCATTCACCAAGAACCAATTCTTATAAAAGTCCATACATTGCTTGCTCCGGTTGATTCTGTTGCCAGATCAGCCATTCAGGGTATAAAGCAGTATAATGGAAAGTATGGGTGCCCATATTGTTATCATAAAGGAAAACAAATTTGTATAGAACAAAATAGGCGAAAACGAGTATACTGTGGCAATATATGTACTTTACGTAAACAGAGCCATTACGTGCGTCATGCTGAAAAAAGTCAAGAAAAAAATAAACCAGTTAAGGGCGTCAAATGGCCATCAATTGTTACACTTATACCACTGTTTAACGTCATTTCATCATTTCCGCCGGAATATTTGCACAGCCTGGCAGAAGGTGTAATTAAACAATTTTGATGGCATGGTTTGATTCTAGCAATCGTGAGAAAGATTGGTCCTTACGTAAGCACGAAGTGCTCTTTGATAAAAGATTAATGAGCATGAAACCTACCTCCGAAATAACTAGAACACCTCAATCAATAACACAACGGAGATTGTGGAAAGGTGCAGAATACAAAAATTTTGCTTTATATTATTCTCTCATATGTTAAAAGGGTTAATGCCAAATAAATATGTACAGCATTGGTTGTTACTAGTTTACAGTATGCATGTTTTTCTAAGTACAACAATATCTCCTAATAATTTTATCATAGCTACGTTTGCGCTCCAAAAATTTGTACTTGATACTGAAAAATTGTATGGAGCAATGTTTATGAACTACAATATACACTTGATGTTACATATTCCAAAAGCTGTAAAACAATTTGGCGCTTTGTGGGCATGGTCAACTTTTCCGTATGAAGATTTTAATCATACTATACAATCACTTTTTAACGGCACTCAATATATTCCGGAACAAATCTGCAAATTTTATTCTCGTATAAGATACGTAAAACAAAGTTCAGTTTTTGATCAGCCTAATTGTAGTAAAAAAGGAAAGGATCTTTTGATTCTATTATAAAAGAATGTCGAATTAAAAGATGCATGGAATATGGAAATTCTTTGCGAGCATTTGGTTCTGCAATTATCATAGAGTTATCATTAATAGAAAAAATAACTGTCGAACAATTTTTGGGAGAATCAGTTAAAAACAAAGCACTAGCTTATCAGCGATTTATATACCAAAATATTCTCTATCATGGTTCCAATTGTACTCAATAAAAAAAAGATGTAACAGTACAATTTTAACTACAGATAGATCGTTATTAGATATTCAATATCTATGTATAGCAGAAACATCAGCAGGCATAAAAAAACAATTGTTAATTTGTAAGGTATTGCAAACACTGCGTGGTGATGAAATATGTAAAATAGGAATATAACGTCAAATCTTTTCTCTTACGTTATAGAAAAAACAGACATTATTAAATGTGTATTTCCTTCTGCGATTAGAAAGAAATGTATTAATATTCCTGTTTATTCCACAAACAATATTAATTATGATAATAATAAGCGATGCATAATACCTCTTGTAAATAATATAGAAACTGATTGAATTATATAAATAATAAGAATTATGAAATAAGTTTATAATGAAAAATGTAAATGTAAAAAACATATGTAAAAGTAAAAATGTAAAAAAATGTAAATTTAAAAATCTATACATGTAAAGCAATAATTTTTTAACATTTGTATTAAAAGTCTTTTCTTCCAAATAAAAAATAACGTTGATAGTATGTAACTTATTGTACGTTATTCACTTTGTGACATTGTAAATTTAACATTGTAAAAAATTTTAACATTGTAAAAAATTATTTATTGCAGAAAATATGGAACATTAATTTTTAAATATTTTAGACATTAAAAAACGTTCAATAAAATCTTTCGTAAATAATTAAAATAAATAAAAGCAAAAACTTATTAAATATATAAATAATAATTTATACTATATATTTATAAAACATTTATTTTTTAATTAAATTTACATTATTCATATATAAAAACACCTAATATTATTTGTATCTTTGCAAAAATATTTTGCTGCTTTATTTGAAAGAAATATTTAAACCTTCTAGCATAACAAAATTTTAAAGTTTTTATATTTGCAATAACATTTTCAATATTTCTGCTTATATATATAATAGAATTAATCATGAGCGACATCCAGTAATATTTGCGTGTAATTTGTACCCTCAGTAGTTATTACATATGCAGTGATCTTTCTAGTGATACCCAACAGGCGAGTAATATTCGTCTGTATTCCGTTGCTAGTAATTATTATAGAGGCAATAATATTCGTCTTGATAATTACAGAGCCATCAGTAATAATCACACAGCCGCGTGTAATAATCACACGGCCGGCAATAGTTCCTTTTCGTAAGGGCACAGCAAAAATGCAATAATTTCTTTGCGTTATGTGGAGCTGTCCCTGTACTTGGAAGTAGTAATTACGTTTTGAAATTTATATATGTATATATATAGATATATATATATATTAATTTCAATATATACATATATATAAATTATTATTTATCTATTACATATACGATACACCTTTTATTCAAATAATAGAAAAAAACAAAGAATGAATAAAATTTATTCATTTCATTTTATTTGTTTTATAAAATTTTTATTCAAAAATATATTAGCAAAATCATTTATTGCGACTTAAAATCATAATATTACGCTAATCGATGTACAGCATTCATCTATAAGATTTCCATGTGTTACTACCTCACAATACTATTATAAATAAATGTGAAATTAATTTGCATTACTTTATATTTTCATATATAATGAGCAGATGTAAAATATTTCTCATTCGTGTGCGTAATATATTGGGTTTTGTATTTATACTGATTTTACACATATCAAATGCAAGAGAGACAAAGATAGAATGATACTCTCTCCTTGTCAAGCTGTCAGTATGTTACCACGAAAATTTCCCCATGAGTATAGATCTAGTGAGATTTGTTCATCCCAAATATTACATAAAAAGAAGTTACGTAGCTTCGTGAAATATTTTTTAATATATTCTTTATATAATAAAGCAGGGAGACAAAGAGTCAAATTTTGCATTATTGCTCTTAAAAATTTATAATAAATAAATGCGATCTCGTGGCTAACCCAACCTTACCCGCTGCTAGCTGCGCATCTCCCCAAGTTATATTATGAATTTTATATTTATCTTTTTTCCAAAAAACGATCTTTGTCTCCCTGCGGACAATCCTACTGATTAAGAATATCGTAAATTAATAAGATTCATTAAGTATTTGGCTAATATATGGGATGAACGAATCCGTAATTCCCCGGCCGGCCGATAGGCGTCTCCACCATGTCGCCTGTCGACCCTTAAGGGTCGACAGGTCGGTCGGCCAAACTCCGAATTGATGTAGGAGACCTCGCGCGGTGACAACGCGAAACTCCGGTTTCAGTGTTGCCAACGCCGAGAAACCAATTCTCGGGTTTTTGTAGTGGTGTATGTCTGTACACGTACATACACCACTGCATCGCTCACGCGGACGCACGTAAGAGAGACAAGGACCGATAATCACGTGTTCTCCTTGTTCCTCTACCGTGCCGGTATACGCGAGATGCCGCCTAAAAATGCTTTCTGGCCTTCCGTAGCAGAAAGCAGTAACGTAGCAAGACTAATAAGCACCCATTTTTGTAAATTTTATATATGCTTATGCACATATGTGGATATATTATTTATATATAAATATATATATATATAAATATACTAATTTACTCTCAATTATATGCTACTGTTATTATTTATCATTAGACAATTATAAAACAGAGGTTATAGATTTGGTCTGACTACACTGGCCTCAAATTAAAGTTGTATATATATTTATTTTAACGTTTCGACCATACGGGATGTGGTCCTTTTCAAAAATACAGATTGGAATATCAGAGAGAGTTACAGCATTTCGTCTTTAAGATGTAAGCGCAAATTATGATTCGGAGAGATTTAACTTGTCAAATAATAAAATATAAAATAAATTATAAAACATATACATATATAATTTGTAGTGCTATATATATATATATATGTTTTATAATTGTCTAATGATAAATAATAACAGTAGCATAATTGAAAGTAAATTAGTCTACAATGTTAGACACGGGTACTTGTTAGATTTGATAATTTATTGCTTATACTTTTTCGAGAGACAAGAATAAGAGAACGAATATAAATTATTATTAGCTTGTATAGCAATCATAGATTGACGAATATGCGTTGGTTATTCTTGATTTCTTTTCTATTATTGATGTTATTGTATAATTTGCTCCATAAATACTTATAACATAAAAGAACTTATGTCGAGTAATATTGATCAATGCAAAGGATGTTCAGTATGTATCACCCAGTAAATTATTAGAGTTCAAATATATCAATATCAATTTTTTATAATATATTGGAATACAGAGAAATGATAAAAAAATATATTTCGGCAATAAAAATTTTATAAATATATTGAAAATATTTTTACTACACGCGCGCGCGCACACACACACACACACACACACACCCACATACACACTATATAAATGCAAAATAATACAGAAATAAATTTTTAATAAAAATCAACATACCAGCTATTTGTGTGTGCATATGTAGCTGCAAGCATGCAACGGATTTATTACTTGATAAATTTATTTACGGACTTATTTTGCATTTATATATATATATATATATAGTGTATGTAATTGTAAAATGATTAAAATATTTTCAATATTTAAAAATTTTCAAGTTTATCGCCTTATATTTCTATAATTTTTCTATATTCTAATATATTGTAAAAATTGATATTGATATATTTGAACTCAAGTTTTTACGTGATTGAATATTATTGCATTGAGCCATCATACGTTACTCGTAAGTTCTTTTACGTTATAATAGTATTTATGTAGCAGAGAGAAAGAGATAAGAGAGAGATTATACAATATAACTTCAATAATCGAAAAAAATCACGATAACGCTATTGTCATATCTATGTGTGTGCATATATATAACTTATATTATATATATTTTATAAATAAGTAAAATATTATGCAGACAATGTATACAATATAAAATGTTCAGTTTGTGCTATGCTTCAATCAATAACACTGGTCGACAAAAAATGACTTTTTTCAGGTTCGAAGATTTCCAAAGCGTATTTTTGTAGATTTTTTTCATGCCGATTACAAATTCGGCCGCAAAAATTGCGTATCACGTCACGTTTTTTAGATATCTTGATCTAAAGATGCAAAAAAGGGCATTTTAGATACTTTTCCGTAAAATATATAGCTTTAAATTGGGATGTGATAAAAAGTGCTACGACGGCTCAAAATAAAACTTCTTGTAGTTTATGTAAAAAAATATAAAAGGTCGAACCTATAAACAGTTTATTGAAAAAACTAAATTAAAAATTGAAAATATTTTTCGCACGTTTCCTTATACTACTAATACAAAGTCTTTAGAGGTTCGATAGAATGGTTCACTTTTTTCACAGATATTAATGTAAAATTTCTTCACTGATAAATAATGAATGTAAAAAATCAGATTTTTAAAA